CCTGCTCAAAAGTTCTTGTCTCTTGCACTGATTTCTTCTTTTAACATTGTGAAGCTCTACTTAGAACCTTCTTAAGATCCAACAGGGCAAAATGCAAATTCTTGCACTTTTTTGACTGGTCTTAAGATTTTGATCAGGAGTGTATATTATTAGTATTTGGGCACCTCTGATTTATTTATATTAACGTTATAATTTAAAAGAACTCTTAAAAATCTGTCTAAACACTCTTTTCTTCGAAGTTACCTAACAGCTTTTTCTTTTTGTTTTAGCTCTTTCTACATTTTCTTTTTTTTCCAACTGGAGGAATCTCAAGCAAAGCTGGTTTTCTTCAACTGAAGAACACAAAATAAAAACATTTAAAAACCATCCTGCAGATATATTTTTCAATGATCCACTGAACTCTCTCAGATCTGTGGTTTTCTTCCTGCCTGCCTCTTTTTTTTTTTCCCCATAAACATAAATCTGAGCCAAACGTCAGCTGCATTTTCTGTAGAACTGCTGTGTTTGTGTTTACATTTGTTTGTACAAAAAAAAGAAACTAAGCTGTTGRAAAAAAAAAACAAAGTTAACTGTAGTTTTTTTTTAGATAAAAATCTGAAGCTGGAGGTGACAGCGAGCTTGTCTTCTTGCTGCCCTCAGAATGAAGGTGTTCTGATGTGTCGGAGTGTTTGTTGATTAAGACTTTTTAAATGGAGTGTGGGCGTATGTGGTCGAACAGTAACTGAGAACTGATTTATTTGAACAAATGTTTTCAGAGACTTGAGAGATTTTGTAAGAAAGAAAAAAAGTCAAGATGTTTTAAAAATGTTTACAATATTTCACAACAGTTTGTTTTTGCTGGTTTGTTGCACGGAAATAAGACTGCCTTCAAATGTAGATTTCAGCCTGGCGTTTATAGGTTTGCTTCTTTTTAAACAGAAACAATGGTTGTAGAAACAGATGGGATTAGTCGAGAAGAATTTCTTGCATTTCAAAACAAAAATGTTAAAAATCCACTTAACTGTTACATGAAATCCAGTTTAAAGAGGTAAGAATTTAAGCAATTTATTTATTCATTATGGGGGTAAAAAGGACACAATACACACAAATCAAGCCAAAATGTCAGAGTAAATCATGTTGGCATGTTTTTGTTGGAATATAGCCCAGTATTTACTTTTACTTAAAAATTACGTAAAAATTGAGTCTTTTGGCTTTAAATGTAAAACATTTAAGTGGAAAAAAAAGCCAAAATCTTTTCTTTTTTAAAAAGTCTCACTATATATATA